TCCTCTTGCTTGCTTGCTTGCTAGGGGTGTGGGCTCCCGAAAGAACCCTGGCCCGAAGGCCTCTCTCTCTCTGTCACTCCCGGCCTGCGGATGCTGGAAACAGTTCCTAAGCCTAAGTTGTCTCTCCCTCCACCGGAAGCTCCCAGAGCACTGTTGCCTGTCGCACCGATCAAATGGAAACTGGACAAGGCTTCGCTCTTTTGTTTTCACCCCAGCATCAGCGACCACGTGCGTGGAGTCGGACGTGTCTGCACGTTTCGTGCATCCACATTCTCAAGTGACCCTGGTGCAGCAGCATGTGTGCCCCCACATGCCACGCACTATCCCCCAAACTGTGCTGCAAAGAGGATCTGGCAAACGTTGCTGAGCTACATACACATGTGCAAACATCTGCAAGCGAGAATGAAACGTGTACTAGGATTCCTCATCAGCAGAAGGATCTCCGCAAGCATTGTGCTCAAGTCGGGCCCAGCAGGTTCTCATGAAGTTGGCAAGGACGCGCACTCAGTCTGAACCTGGGCCAATCAAGGCTTCGAAATGGCAGCAGAGACAGTGAACTCTCTAACCGGCTGAGCGGCTCCTTCAATCGCAGTCATAGCGCTTTCGTCTGATAGTCTCCAATCATCAACAATGCTCGTGCAATCTCGCTGCAGCCGTCTACCACAATCTCGGTAAACCCAGTTCGGACCCCGCTTTTCCATGACGGTTCCGGGTGCAGTTCTTTCGGCACTTTCGGCACCGACGCTATCTCTCTGTCTCTCTCTGCCTCTCTGTACCTCTGCAAACTCTAATTGGAAATATTGAAATCCTCTTGCACAGTGGTTGCATCACGTGCCTGCTTTGTGATTGTATAAGCGTGCCTGGTTCCTTCCTGCGCGTCACGTGACACCTATGGTTGGGGAGGGCAGGAATCAAAAAGAAGTGGGCGAGCCGCGAGTCTTTGGCAGAAGTTCCAGAGGACCAGTGCTGAGCTTATACATCTCCTGGCTCTACGCAAGGGACCCATGCCATCTTGCAGAAACCTCGTCCGTTCCCACCACTGCCCCGAGTCTCTCGGGCGGTCAGAGCTTAGCGAGCCAAAAGCTTTCCGGCTTCATTGGAGATTCCTTTAAACTTTAAGTCTCAACATGCAGGACTTGGCCTAGGACTTCGGAGAACAGCCGGATAGCTTTCCCATGCCAAGGTCTGCCGACTCTGTGCACTGAAAGACGTGGGCCTTTTAATTAATGCATGCTCCAGTTGAGCAGTCTAGTTCCATCTTAATGGGCAGATCTTCAAAGATGCTTTGGCAACTGCCCGTCTGCCCCGGTCCATCTTCGCAACTGAAGACCAAACCGGCGGCAATCTGACTGATCACGGTCCTTGTCGTGTCTGTCAAATAAGAGTCCTCTGGGAAGTCACAGTGGCATTCTGCGCACTTCACACAAGGGCTGGAAAGAGGCGTGCATCCAAAGATCCTCGCTCCAGAAGGGCTGACTTCGTCAGACCTTGTCTCGCAATTCCCACACTTGCATTGCATCAGAATCGGCTGATGCTCGCTGCACATGTTGCTAATGAAATCCAGGCTTGCACTCCTGGATGCTCTCACGTACTGAATTAATATTTGTGGGCTTGCCCAGCCATCCGGCCAAAACAGCTTGTACGAGGGAGATCTCCTAAAAGAGTCCGAGAAGTTGCAGGTGAAAGTCTTGTCCTGCACGTCACAAACACGTCGTGCTTTTGATGCATCTTTGGAACCTACCAGTACTGGAAGTTTGAGTACCGCCGCTGCCGCTGAGCCAAAACGAAACCCCTTAGACAAGTCCAAGTTGTGAGCGAACGCACGAATGCCAGGTCCTGCGCCCCGGTCACAACCCGCGACGTTGAGCAACGTCCAGTGCCACATGCAGAGTCTTCAAGGCAATTGCTGCACATGAAGCCACCCATGCCCCGTTGACATGGGCATTGCCTCAGAACATTGTCAGAACATGGTGTCGACGACATCTAGACCAAACAGGTGTCCCAATGGAAACACGTCAAATCAGCGTGCCAATCCTTGGCAGGCTATTCCATGTCTGCTCAGTCCCTTTCCTTCACACCTCGAAGGGACCCTCAAAGCCAGGGTACTCACAACGGCAAAGCAGCTTGTCGGCAGCCGATCCGCCAGGTGGGAGGGGACACCAGTAAGCACCTGCCATCTCAGAGACAGTTACACAAATCTTCCTGAGGCTTTCCAAGACAGACTGCAGGGGTGTGGACTCATATCGGCACAGCTCCCTGAACCCAGGAAAGCTGACACTACTAATATGCCTGGGCCGTAGTCGGAGCGATACGCGCAAGTCTCGACTCCGTCCGCACAGTGCTGCAGCCCCGTGTCCTTCGTTAGGATATGGGAAAACGCATGGGGGCTCGGCTTAACACACATCTAGGAAAACCTCTAATCCACACATAGATATGAAAAAATCATGCCGAGGCCTTCGGCTCTTGGACAAAGGCGACTGGACTGACTGTAATCCTTTGGGGGCAAACAAAGTCTTCTTGTTCTTGTTGGGCCAGCCCTCCCAGGCCTCCGAGGGCCACCCTGACAAGTTCACTTCTCTTTTCCAAGCAGGAACATCTAGCCTAATGTCAACCACAGATGGCCAACAGCAAAGCCATCAGATGCGAGCTGCAAAACACCGCCTGAGTTTCACAGAACCATCATTTTCAGCTCGGGCCTTGCAATTTTTTAGCGGTTATGCGTAGTGACGACGAGTACCCTGTTACCCCAAACTGGCCAACGGCTCAACCGAGACGAGAGGCTCGGATTGTCTCGGATTATTATAGGTGGTGTGCCATCAATTGCCCTGCCATTTCGCAACCCCTTACGCCTTCGGATACGGAGAGTAACGGTATGCTGCCGTGTATCGGACCAGCGCCAGTCTTTCGAAGTTGCCTTGTGGATTTCCCGCCCTTCTGCGACTGGATACACAGAGCCCGGAACGGTACCTGGACCGCAAGCTCCGCTTGTGACGCGCACCTAAGGCCCCAGAGCTTCAAACGGAACATGTTGCAGCATGGACGCTTCGCGACTCATTTACCGCTCGACACGAATGCATTCAAGGCGCCGAGCTGTTGGCAAAGAGTGGCTGCGTGGGGCTCAGCACTAGTCCACCAACCTTGACATCTTGCGAGCCGAGCCTGCTCAGCGATGTATGCAGAATTATGCAGACCCAGGACCCACGGTTACAACGCACAAGCACGCAATGACAGGAAGTGTTCCAGCGCCTGCCGCTCGCAGTGTGGATCACGATCGCCAGCAGGTTGACTCGAAAGATGCCAGACATCCACATGGCACGACGTGCTGAAAGCCAAGATGGCAAGTTGACCGTTCACAGAAGAGAGAAGGCAAAACACTTAGCATCGCATCTGCCAGACTTTCGTAAGCAATCCCAACACCGCCGGCTGGCTGAACAGGCAACTGGGCCCTGGCAGATTGGGCCCTCTGGAATGCTGCCCAGCAACCAGTCTTGGATCCGTTCCCCACTGACTGTCCAACACTCTTGGTCCGGACTCGACGGACAGGCACAGCATATCCCACACCTCGCAATGTGAAACGACACGCGGAGCTCGGCAAATTACAAACTGCAGACCCTTAACTGGAAAAACTGAAAAACTAGCAACTCTTGTCCGACAGGCTTCGTGGGCCGTCCATGGCAGGTTCCAGGACGGGGTTCAAGAGGACCTGCACAAAGGCAGCCGACATGATCCACTTGGCGCCCGACACATGTCCCAAAACCTGGCTCAGCGTACCATCGAGTCAAATCGACAGGCCATCTTACTTATACACCGGCTGGCCGCAGCCCGTCTCTGGAAAAAATCGGCGCGAGATAGTTTCAACGTGACTCGCTGTCGGGAGGCCCATCTGTTACATGCCAGCTAACTTGTCGCTGGCATGGAACATCCGTTGAAACAGTCTCGCCTCGGCAGCAGCGAAACCACCTGGGCGCTCTGTGGTCATGTGCAACCTGAAGATACTCTCGTTTTGTTTTGCGCATGTCCAGCACCGAACCTCACGACACCAGCTTGAAAAGTTGATCTCCAGGAACAAAATCCGTGTTGCCCAACGAACCGAGATAGAGCTGCGAGAAAGAAGCCGGGCACCACGAGCAAATCCTTCCAACAGCATTTTGTCTCCTCTTTCATGACGGCCGGGAGAATACCAGCCAATAAGAAAGTACATTTTCATTTCGTCAACAAATGCTCTGCAAACAGCACATTCGGCTTTCCAACATCTGACGGCAGCAGAATTAAATCAGGATTCTTTTGGTTTCTTTCTGGGAAGTTGTTTTGTGTTCAGTTCTGCAACACAGGCCTAGAGGCGCGACTGATTTCGCCTACTCTTTTGGGGAGGGGACTTGGGACCTGTGCAGGGGGGCTTGCGATGGCGATTCCGGTTCATCGTACATCTTTGGCGATTCCGGTCATCATATATCTTAAACACGCCCCTCATTTGGCGATTCCGGTTCACCACATGTATACATACATATACATACATACATACATACATACATACATTACATACATACATACATACATGCATACATATACATACACATAGCTTAACACCCGACCCCCCCATCTGGCGATTCGGGTTCCTCATATATCTTAAACACGCCGCCACATTCGGCGATGTGCTTTATCATATATCTTGGACACGCCTCCTTATTTCGCGATTCCAGATCATCATCATCATCATCATCATAATCATCATATACATATACATATACATATACATATACATATACATATACATATACATATACATATATATATATATTATAAGACCAACCCCATGTGGCGAATCCCGGTTCATGTCATCATATATGTGAAACTGTTAAACACTTGGCGATTCATCATACATCGTAAACACACCCCCTCATGTGGCGATTCCGGGTCATCATATATCTTGAACACGCTCGCTAATTTGGCGACACCGGCTCGTCACATATCTCAAACGCGCCGGCTGATTTGGCGATTCCAGTTCATCATGTATCTTCAACATGCCCCTCATTTGGCGACTCTGGTTCATCATATATCTTAAACACCCCCTCATTTGGCGATTTCGGTTCCTCATATACCTTCAGCATGCCCCCTCGTTTAGCGATTCCGGTTCATCCTATATCTTAAGCATGCCCCCTCATTGAACACGCCGCCACATTTGGCGATTCCGGTGCATCATATATACCTTAAACAAGCACCCGCCCATTTGGCGATTCCGGTTCACGTTGTCATATGTCATTTGGCACACCCGAAGCCCACAGCTTTAAGCCAGAATCCTTCGCGCCAACCATGCCTCTGGAATGATTTCACTAATGATGACCTTAAACTGCTTGAATGATGTCATCATATATCTTAAGCACTGTAACACCACACCATTTTGCGATTCTGATGCATCATATATCCTGACACAATATGTTAAACACGCCCGCTCATTTGCCGAGACGCCACCTCATTTGGCGACTCCAATTCATCATGGATCTTCAACATGTCCCCTCCTTTTTGGCTTCTCCGGTTCATCATATATAGATATCTTAAGCGGGCGTCCTCATTTGGCGACTCCGGTTCCTTATATGCCTTATAAACGCCCCCTCATTTGGCGATTCCGGTTCATCATATATCTTAAACGCGCCTCCTTGTTTCGCGATTCCGGTTCATCATCATCATCATCGTCATCACACATACATATATATATATGTGTGTATACATATATGCTACCCCCCCTCATGTACCCACGTTTTGTGCTTGAATCATGTGGAATTTCGGAAATTTTGGATTGTTTGGAATATTTGGCAATTTTGGAATTCTTGGAAACTTCTACAATATCTTGGAATTTGTAAAATTGTCTTCAATTTCGGGAGATTTCTACACGTTCATGTAATGCTCCTAAACCTAGTAGTAGTCTTAGTCTTGAGGTTAATCTCGTCTCCGCCTTGTTCTTGCCTCTAATCTTAGAGCGATTATTATTAGTTGTAGTAGTCTTACAACTATTATTAATGTT